TGTAGCCGCAACTATCAGGCTTTCAGTGGGTAGTATTTCCCCTTCATCCTGTGTAGTCACTGAAGCTGTGCCTGTTGCCTTTTCTGGCCTTTGGTCACAGATTATTTGAACAGGATTGCTGAATATCCACCAGAGCGTTACCTCGGAGTGATTGTGTAATCCTGAAGAAGCCTCACGGCTAAGAGATTGTTGAGTTCTGCTTCATGGTTCCTGCAAACTAGATGTAGCAGGTCAGCCATTAGCTAGCCAACTCACACTCTGTATGTTGTTTGAAGCATAGATCATTTTAAACTTCTTATTTACTTTGTTATTTACTATGTAATAGGAGTTAAAATTAAGACACCACAGAGCAAAATTCTGCTGAAGCCTGAGAAGGTGAACAAAACGCAGGCAATGTGTGAAGAAAGCAAATGATATTTCCTAGGAGCTTCTGAGAGGCTGCAATCTCTTGTGCTTCAGAAAGCCTGTAAGTGCCTGAAATTATTTGCATTCTGAGATAGCCTGTGGCTGTAGTGTAATTTTCTCCCAAATTGAGGTAGTTGGACCACCAAAATTGCAGTAGTCTAGAAAAGCAAGGGTAGGCTATGGCTAGAGTAAAAAGGGCTGGCTGCTCAGGTCGGTGTGAATGATGAGTGAGGAAGCAGATGAAGACCTCTGCTCCTCCCTGACACACTCTCTGAGCTCTGGTCTGCTCACACATACACCCTCACAATCTGTAACAGGTTTATTTTCACAAGCATTCTAGTGATAGAGGGACATATCTCCATTTTTACGCAGGACTGGAAGAGTTTGGAGGTACGTGTTTCTTCAGTGTATACCCTTTTGCCCCTTGCCTGAGTCCACAAGACACAAGCAGCCACCACAGCTTTGTGTCTTGGAATGTGCTGCTGCTTCTGATACCCATGAGAAGTGTGGCTAGAAATCTATTTGAACTGGTTTCCAAGTGGCAAGAGCCTGGGTTGTGACAACCCTAACCCACATTGGCCAGTTGGTTTCAAATATAATGCTCTTCAAACTGTGTTTCAAAGGAAGGAAATACTCTACTACTGACAGCTTCTTATTAAAATAATATGGTTCTCACAGAGCATATCACTTAGATGGAAATGGAGAGACTTATCAGATGGTTGCTTTCACCAGAGAGGCAGCAAGTTTGAATACCCTTCTTTGTCCTTCTGCGTTGAGTCCTGCATACTCTGGTGTATCTGAAACCAGAACTCTGTGAGGGAGAAGGAGGAATGTCAAAGATCTGGTTTTGCTCATGCTGACTTGCTCCAGCTTTGCAGAGATATTTTCAGGGGAACCCGTTCCACATTTTAAAACAAGCTTTGAAGGATGTGTGGCTGATGAACACCATTGGTGTCTAGGTGGCTGCTTGTCCTTGTTTTCTGTCTCATGTCATACTGGCACTTCACTACTGCACAGTGATACTCTTCCTTTCGTGGCTTATTTCTCTGATACTGGGGGCTAGGAATGAAAGCTGTTGCATCCCTCCTCAACCTGATGATTTTGTGTCTTACCTGATCCAGCAATCTAATTAGTCGTAGAGCTTAGCGTTGCTTCTGAGCTCATTTGTAGTCTGCAGTGGGTCTGTAGCAGCAGTTGCCAGGCAGACATATGCAGATGGGCACTTGGAGTTTGTGGAAAGGCAGCTGGCTCTTGGCTCTCACCTTCTGCAGTGAGTTTGTGTTGTGCTCTCACAGGCCTTTGCTGCGTGCCTATGGTTCTGACTTGCTGCTGGTTTTTGCTCACTCCATATCCTTCTAAAGGCTACACAGATAAAGCATCTTCTGAATGCTCATGAATAAATACATCCTTGCTGGCTGAGCACTGGAGATGGACTATGTGAGTTGCTAATTAGGGAGTGAGTCATCAAGTGCAAACTTTGCCACCTTAAGGGTGTCAGTAACACTTAAAGTGAGCTTGGAGTGAATATGGGGCTCCACAACTCCCTGCTCTGCTGTTCTTCTCTGGACCCAGTTTGGAGAACTTGATTGAAAGGTCACACTAAAATGCTGCTTTTGAAAGCAACTCTTACAGCTGTGAGTGCTGCAGAGCACAAGGAAGTTTTGTGTTTCCTCACCCCAAGTCTCCTGACTGTGGCAGGAGCAGGCTGGCCTCCCTTCTGTGCTGCCTGGGCCAGGGCCTCTTAAGCTGGTGATGGCTGTTGTGTTTTCACTTCCAAATGACAGGGTTCTCCTGTAGAACGGTTTCCTGTGCTCAGTGGCATTGGTCATACCCTTCCAGAACTGGTGCTTCAAGACTATGAATATTGCTTTCCTTGTGTACTTTATTGTGTGTGCTGCATGCTCCTGTGACAAGGAGGTTCCAGTTCTATTGCTGTTGTTGAGGAAGACTTCTGAGGACTGGCACTTGGGCCCACGTCTCTTGTTCTTGTTTGCTTTTGTCTGATTCTTTTCAGAAACAGGTATTTTTCAGCCATTGTTTCCTCTGGAACTACTTCCCCTTCTCTCCCTTCTCCAACCCCTCCCTCCTCACTCCCCTCCACTTGCAATACTTCCAGTTTTCATGTTTTCCCGCGGAAACTGTAGCACTGAGAGTTTTGTGGCAGCGTCAATGACTTCCTGTATAAATAGTCTGGGTTTACATTAGCTCAGGTACGACAAGGTAAGACTTGTCTGGTTGCTGCTGTGGCTGTCTAGACTAGGGAGTCCTTTCAGAAAGATGATATGCCAAAATGTTCTGAAGTCTTTTTCTTTTGGCTTGGGGATTACAGCCAAGGACAGATGTGCGTGAATAAATAATTCTTTTTATTATCATTGTGGATTTAGCAAGTGCATAGAAAGGCTTCAGACCCAAAGAGGAGTAAACTTTACCTTTCTCCTTGTCTCTCCTATGTGCAAAGACTCAGTGCCACCAAAAGCCAATATCCACTGCATGTTTGTGTTACTGCAGGTTTTTGTCTGCCCTTTTAGGGTGGATGATTAGGAAAGCAAAGGTATCATCTTAAAATTCAGTTCTGATATTTTTCCATTTGAAATGAGATTTCTGGTGAGTCTAGAAGGCTTAAAGTAAATGTTTTCATCCCCTAGTTTCTGCAGGTCTTTGCAAGTGTGCTTTATAAAATAGCTGTAAATAGGACAATTGTTCTGAGTAATGTGCATAGACAATATACAGCACTCCACCAGTGCAGCCAGGCCTGAGAGTGTGATCTTACAGGTGCAGAAACGATCAGAAGTGTGGTCTCACTGCAGCCTGCATTCCTGTTAACCTGCTTGCCTAAACAGAGACATGCATCCAGCTCTGTAGCAAGTTCATTCACTGCAACCCCAGCAGATAATAGCTTTCTGTTCTTCTGTAGGGTGGGTTTTCTGCTGGGCTGGTCGCTCATCTGACTCCCTCTGAGATCGAGCAAGCCTGAGGGTTGTTGGTGTGGGAGAGAAACAGCAGCAAGACCTGTAGCTACACGTGGAGGGCATGAGCAGAGTGGAGCCTGATTTTACAGCTAAGGCAATCTAATGCTAACCAAACTGTGTCCTAGGACTCCAGACTTTGCCCTTCATGGCTGCTGAGAAAGAGCCACGTTGGTTTTGTTACATACCTGGACAATGAAAGCATTTATTCAGAATAAAGAGCTCAGATAGGAGGATCGGAGGATTTGCTGCAGCAACTCACTAGAGTAAACAACTGGACTGGTTTTGTGTCCGTACTACTTTTGGTATGAGGTGTGATAGCCAAGTGGGAATACTTAGACTGTTGGCAGCAAAACCAAACAAGCTGAAGGAAGAGGGGCAATGATAACCGTTACGTGTCTGTAGGAAGGAAAAGGATATTGCAGAGAAAAGCAGGTGTTTGTCCTTTGATCTGAAATCTAACATCTCCAGTTCCAGGCTTGTAGCCGTTGGGGGCATTTCAGGCAGCAGTGAGTAATTCTCATCTCAATTAGCGTATTTAGTGCTTGTTGCCTGATGCTGTAGAAAACTGGGTTAGTCCCTGTGTGCGCACTCAGAAGCCAGACTTTATTGGTTTAACTGTATTAGCTGATAGTTTAAATTTAACTAGTTGTTCACACTCACACTGTGAAGACTGCACTTTGCTGGCTTTATGGTTAGCACGTCTGTTCCTGGAGTTATGGTATTGACAGTGCTAGAGAAGAGTCCAACCTATCAAGGAGAACAGAATTGCACCAGGGTTCTGTGTCAGTTCACAGCACTCGGTCTGACAGTTATCTGTGACCATCTGTCACCACAGAAATGTCAGTGTCGTTGTGGAGCATCCTGTGATTTGGTATTTTTGTTGTTATAACTTCTGAATCTGAAATCAGTTTGTGATGTCAAACTGATCATTTTTCATGACACTTTTTCTCTCTCCCTGGTTGTTGAGTGGTTGGTTGTACAGTGGATGAATGCAGTATTGTTGGTGCTACACTAGAGTTGTAGCCCCTTAATGCCACTAGAACACATGATGCACTTCTCTGTTCTTTTACATTTATTTGACTGTCAGCCGAATACTGTTATTTTCTGAAGTATCTGAAGAACTAGAATATCCTTTCCTGGTGCCTGTGAAGGCAGTGTTGTCTTGTGCTTCACTAGCAGCTGAGTTGCCCCAGGACAGTTCTTGAGAAAATCATGCAGGAGAGTCTCCTCTGCAAGCAGAGGAGTCTGATTTATGCAGCAGAGCCCATGAAGAGCTACCTGAGGATATCTTTTCTTCTGTATTATTTTCTTGCCCTAATCCATTGTGGAATCACAGAAGGGGTAGCTTGGCTGTGGGGGACAAAGCTGTGCTCCCTGTGTACACTGGGGGTTTGCTTCTTTGGAAGGATTTTTATTATGGAAGGTATTTTCCAGGCTGTGCAGCATACATTATTCTCTGTGAATTCCTGAAGGAGAGGCTGAACAATTGAATCTTTAAAAGATTTCCTTGATAATGCTGGTTTGAGGCATCTGCGATGAATGGAAGAAAGGAAAGCAGGCAGGCAAAGGTACTCTTGTGCGTTTTTTGCATCTAGCCTGTTGCTCACCTGAAGTCTTATCTTCCAGCATCCAGGTGGAGAAGAGGTTTTGCTCGAACAAGCCGGTAGAGATGCCACGGAGAGCTTCGAAGATGTTGGGCATTCCTCAGATGCCAGGGAAATGCTCAAGCAGTACTACATAGGGGAGATCCACCCGGTAAGGACCAGCTGGCTGTTGCAACCTCTTTCAAACATAGGATAGGACTGTGTGAAAGTGTGATTCTCCTTTGTGTAACTCACTGAACACATACACTAAGATGTGTCTTGTGAAATAAGTCAGTAGTTAAGGGTTTTGGGCAGTCTCTATGTTGTCCAGGATTTCTGTTGAGGAAAAAGGATCTCTGTTGAGGAAACAAAACTAAATTAGTCTTCTCTTCTCACCATTTAAAACAGATTTCTCACTACAATTAAATTTAGGGCACTTAAGAATGTAATCTAATTGGTTTCCTCCTTTACTGGTGGTACCATAACTTCGCCTTGCCTTGTAATTTAGAGGAGTTCAAGAGTGTGAGAGATCACATGGGCATGGCACAAACACCAGCTTCCTGCCTGCTGCAACGACTCTGCCTTTGGGTGCTGAAGGAATGACTCCTTTGAAACCCAAGTCCAGGCAATCGCCCCTTTGATGAGGACTGTGTACAGAACAATTCCCTTGTAAAGACTGCAGGTTTCTCTTGAAGTCAGTGCTTACCTTTTTTTCTTCTTTTTTTTTCCCCTTAACAGCACGATCGTAAGAAAGAAGGTTCCAAGGTAAGCTATGAGTATTTTACTTTTCTGTTTTAATTTAATGCTGTGGAAATGATGCTCACAGAATGAAACAAAGAAGTTGTCACAAGCCTTTTTTATATGTTGTTTGTTTTTTTTTCCTGTGGAGCTTGTGGCTTTCTGTTTAAACAAGCTAAAGTAATGAATAAATCTTCCAAGCAAATTATACGTTGTTTTTGTTCTGAAGCTCAGCAGTCACCTTAGTGTGAAATTGGAAGGGTTTTTTGTGCCCTCTCTCCCCTGACATCAGCAATGTTATTTCCACACCTTGAGCCACAGGCTGGTTTTTGCATCACTCGCTATGTCCTGACCACTGAACTGTTGGTGGTGTTACATTCAAGCCAGGAGACAGGCACAGCCACTGTGGGGTTGGCTGTAAAACAAGAATTCTCTGTTAACTGCCCCGGTAATCACTGGTGTTGCTTAAAACTTAGGTACTCCTGGATTAGAACAGGGCACAGTGTTGCAAATATGCCTTTGAAATGGATGGGGAGGGGGAAATGGTAATAAATAGAATCCCGTAGGAGAGGTAAACATGTGCCTTGCAGCTGGCTTATCTTCTTGCTTGGTTTGAAGACTTGGACCAGGCGCAGCTTTGCCTTCAACAACACTTTCATTAGCTGCTGTTCAAAGCAGGGCAACTTGCAGGGTAGCAGGAACCAAGAGGGAAACTGTCAACAGAGGGAGTGGTGGCTGAAGCCCTTGGGAGTGTTTGCTTGCTGTAGTCATAGAGTAATTCAGGCTGTATGAAGCCTACACTTAGTTATATAGGAGTGCATAATTATGCATCTATTCACCTTAAAATTTATTGTTTCATTTAACACTGTTTCATAAGCAGGATCACAAATGTGTCTAGAAATAAACAGTAATCTGAGTAGTTCCCTTGGATATGAGTTAAATACTTTTTCTCTTCTGAAGAGAAAGTCCAGTGAGTTATGTGCTGCTAAGGCCTTTCTCCAGTGTAAACATCTATTTTAAAAGCAGGCCCAAGTGTAATTTAAAAACAGCAGCAAGAGGTAGAAGTCAGTAATATGAAAATAAATAGGGGGGAGCAACAACAAACAAATAAAAAGCTGTACATGTATATTCTTGTGATGCAGCTCAAGAGGTGGCTCCCCACAGGTAAGTGTCGACGTTTAGCAGCCACTGAATGTACTATGACAGAAGAGCAAGCACTAAGGCTCTCAGGAAATGGAGATAAAATTCTGTTCAGGATTGGCGGGAAAGGTGATTTTTGGTTGGTTATTGATTAAACTGGAGAGCAGCAACTGCCATCGAGGCTGTAGAGGTGACAAAAACCCAAGTGAGAATAGCAGCAGACTGGAAGGAGGATTTAAATTCTCAAGAGTTCTATGAAAGGAGGAGTGTGAAAGTTTGGAAACAGGCTGTGTGCAAGGGAAGAGCTGATGAGAACATTGTGGTTGTATGCTTCAGTGGTCAGGGAGCAGGATGGCAAATGGGAATGTGGGCAGGGGTTTGGAGAGGGCATCACACTGAAAGGATGGTCTGTATCTGAGTAGTAGTCATCGTCCCTAGTGTTTAAAAGGAACAGGCTGCTTGCAAGGTAATGAGCAAGACCTTTTACTGCGAGGGTGCAAGTTCCAGTGTGAAGTGGGTGACTGGGTGGGAGGGATTGGATTGATGGAAAGAATGTAGAGGGGAGGACAATGGCAGACGGCCCCAGACACATCCATCCTTGTGACAGAGGGTGGTCAGAAGAGGAGGGGAGGGTTATTTTTACTCTGTGTTTGTAATCGCACATTCAGTCTTCGTTGTTTCTAATCGCACATTCAGTCTTCATAGTCTCATAAGCACATGTTTAATGTTTTCTTTTTCCCCTGCTAACTCCCTGTTTCTTCCTTCAGAATCCAAGTATGACATCCTCAGGCCAATCAAGGTATAGTATCCTCTTAAAATAAGAGTAAGAAATCAAGGGGTTAGGACTCTCCCTTTGTAAAACTGCATTATTAACTGTAATGGGCAGGAAAAAAACCTGGGGATATTAGCGCATTGTAGTCCCTCTGCATTATAGGGATTATTTGGGTGGGCACTGCAGGCCACGGGGTGATACAACACAGTGATGTGCTTGTTTTTGGAGGCTCTTCACCATGACCAGCCCTGTTTAGTTGAAAATCCTTGGAGCCAGAACAGGGTCTTAGTCTTTCATAGCTGATGCAGAATCTTTTAGCTAAGGGGGCTGCTGAAGGTGAGCCTGTGGCCACTGGTTTATGAGTGAGGAAAATTTATTGTGGGATGGCTGTAGCAATTTCCATCCTTGAGACAACTCAGCTGTTTGTATAGCACAAATTACAGTCTGGCTTATTTAAGGAAAAACGAAACAAAACAAACCACCAACAAAAAAACCCAAATTGGTTTCTGTATGTGCCAGGCTGGAAGCTTCAACAATTCAGCTGCTGTTTTCTAAGGCACCAAGCCCCCTTGTAGGCATAGGGGCCTCTTAGAGGGGCTGAGCTGAGCACTGAGCTTGGGGACGGCCAGTGCTGCCCAGTCCTGAGAGCCACAGTCCCTTTGGCTGGTCTGTTAGGTGATGGGAGATGGGTTCCTAGAGTTCCCTGGGAGAAAACAGACATGTAATAAGTGATGAACATCTTGAATGAATTATTAACTTGCTATTTTCTTCTGTTTTATGTGTGTGTGTGTTTTGGTTTGTTGTGTGTTTGGTTTTTATTCTTCCTATAGTTTCTGGTCAACATGGCTAATCCCAGTCTTCGGAGCACTGGTCCTAGGTTTAATGTATCGCTATTACATGCTGGATGGGAGAACCTCTTGAACTGACCTTGCTGGGACCTCAGAAAGCCTGAAGAGGAGGGTGTGAGAGAGAATGCACACATGCAACACATGGAGTTCTGCTCCCCTTAACCTTTCCTGCCTTGCTTTTGGCTTTGTCTGTCAAGTGATGTTGAGATCCATGGGACCAAGCTAATCCCAACCTATCCTAACTCTGGGAGCTGCTGTACTTTCCTCCTGTGGTGGCAGGGCAAGTGCAGCTTCCTGGTATTCTCTCATTTGTGTGTGGTCTCCTCGTGTGTGCGTGCTTGTGCGCTCTCTCTCGTGTTCTCTCTTGGTCTCTGAAATAAACTACAGACAACATTTTTATTTCAATGCCTTTTTGTTAAGCCAGACGACATGAGACAGCTGCCAGTGAGCCTGTGGATTGCCTCAGTCCTTCACATAGCATTGTCAGACGTAAACTGCAAGTCGTCCAGAAGAGATGGCCAGAGATCTGGTTCCACAGTAACTATCCCAGTGCATGCAGGCAACACTAACTGGAGCAGCAGGAAGTCGTTAGCTTTGCTAGCTCTTTCTGTACTTGTCGTTTTTAACGGTTGAACAAATACAAGTATTTTAAAAACAATTCTGTTCATTTTGTAATATTTGTACTTGTCCCTTTTAAAATGTATATTCTGTGAAACCATTTACACCTTTGAAGCCTGGTTTGTTTGGGTGCTTTTGTGCTGCGTGTGGCAGTGCCAGAAATGAGAACTGACATGTGGCTGCTCAAAATGCAGATTTTTCCCTTTCTCCCTGAGGTCTTGATCCAACATACATATTGGAAGCAAAACTCATTATTACTGTGAATGTGCACCAGATGGGGGGGAAGACAAATCCAGTCTTTTTTCCCTAAATGAAAAGGGAAAAGAAATCCATTTGGGCTTTGTGCATAATGCTGGTTTTGTCTTGGAATAGAGGAGGATATTTCTCTCTTCTGTTTCTGTGTGTGATGCAGTTGGCCTCTAATAGTGCAGAGACAATATAAAGTACGCTTTGTGCATTGAGGCACAAATCTTTCCAGGTCTTCCAGCATGTTGGTCTGTGGCTCCAGGAACTGCTAAATAGAGGGAACTCATGTCCTAGTGTCTGATATCCTTCAGTGGAGCTGTTACAACACTGCTTTGACAAAAACGTTACAGCAAAGCTGATCATCTCTTTGAATTGCTACAAAAAGGGATGCAATCTACAGGGTCCTATTTGTGAAAACCTCCTGGAGATAGTGGCTTTGTCTTGCATGAAACTACTTTGTGCCCCTGAAGGTCATGTAGAAGAATTTTGGATCTGGGATTACACTGCCTGTTTAAAACAAAAGGCAAAGGAGCTGCTTGGTCCCTGGGAATGGAGAGCTCTGCTGGGGCTGACTTAGTCCTTCTGCCCCTCCCATGGGGATGGCAGTTGCTGCCAGCAGCAGCTTGGCTTTTGGTGCTCACTTCGAGCAGAGGAGCAACAGCAGTCCCTGTAGAGGTCTGTCTTGCCATGGGACTTTTTCCACTGCCATCAATTGTTTTATCTCTTACAGTGAATTATCTGGCCAGAGAAACCTGGAGTTCAGCACTGCTGCAGTGGGTCTTGGATATCCTATTGCAAGTCCCTTGTTGGGCCTGGGCTGCTTCCATGGTTTAGCCTGTGTTTATTCTGCTCTAACAAAAGTGTAGCAGAAGAGCGTAAATCAGCCAAGGAAAATCCCATAGGAAGGACCTGGGACATTCTGTTTAGCTACATGATAAACAATAGAGGTGACAGGCCATAGAGTCATATGTTAACATAGGTCTTAAACTCAGCAATGAGTCATTTTAAGTTTATGGAAATAGATTCTATAATCTGAAATTATATCTTTATATTCCAGACTACTGTTGGCAATATCGCCTGTCAATTTCTATCTCTTGCAGAGCCTCTCCATTGGTTCTGCTGCTTCCTGTCAGCAGATTAACTGCCTGGGGGAGACCATCAGTCTTTTTCCAGGGCTTCTCAGAGCTCTTCAGAGTCTTGCCCAATGCCTTGTGGAAACCCAAGCAGCCTTTGCCAAACAGCTGTCCCTTTTCTGCACATGCACCAGTTCCCTCAAGCATCTTGAGGAGCTTGAGCTGTGTTTAGAGAACCCAAGTCTTCCCACTTCTCCATCAGTTACAAGCTTAGAACACCATCAGTATGCCCAGCACACGTACGTGTTTTACTGGTCCATAGTCCTGCAGATCCACCCTGCTGCTCTCTGCCTGTGGGGCTGGTTTGAAGGGCAGCAGGTACATGATGGAGGCAGACTGGTGGGAGCCTGGTGCTCTCCTGACGCTGAGCTCCCCTGCACAGGGCTCCCTCCGGCAAGGTTGTGGGCCCAGCCTGCCTCCTCTCCTCCCTTTCTCCTCTGGCTTGCTGAATGATGGGTCCTATAGGTGTAGAACTGCTCAGGTGACAAGGGAGGCATTAACAAAGCTTGTTTACCCGTTTTATTGAGGATTAAAAAAGACAATTCCAAATCTTTGTCCTTACACTGAACTTCTTGTGCAGCAAAGGTAGGTTGCCAGATCCCCTGCACAATGCAGGCACTGTTTCAGCTTTCAGCCTGTGAGAAAACTCTCTGGGTGAAATTAAAGCTGGGTGTGTGTGTTTTGCTTCCTTCAGGTGCTCTGGAGAAGGAGTTGAGTGAAGAACTGTAAACATGACCACGGAGGCAGCTTTCACTGTTCATGTAACCGTGTTACCAGCAGAACTGTGCTGGTCTCTTTTCCCTCTCCACAAACCCAGATTCCTTGACAAAGCAGAATGTAACTCTTGATTGGATCGATGGTTTTCAGAGGATGGGTAGGAGGTCTGAGCATATTCCTGGTTTTGCTGAAATTAGCTGATAAAGAGAAGGAGTAGCAAGGGAAATGTGATGTGGAGCTTTCTGTGCTGCCGAGGTTGGAGTTGGGAGCTATGGGCTGGGGCTGGCTGGGCACTGCTCTGTTCTGAGATGGGAGCCCCCACAAAATGCTGCTTCTTGCGCCCAGAGTAATAAGGGCCAGAGAGCTACAGGGAACAAGCTCCTGCCCTGGGTCATGGTCTGACGGTAGCAAAGTCTGTGTAGAGCCAAATGCTTGCCCTGCTGCCAACAGGCCATGGAAGACTTGGTGCCTCCTGATGGCAGCCAACTTACATCTGCCCATCACAGTTGCTGCTCTGGGAGGCAATGCTGGGGATGCTGTTGAAGTTTTATCCTGGGATTGAATGGGAAGACCCATGTCTTCAATGGGTTTTAAGTAGCTCCTCTTTTTTAAACCCTTACAAGCCAGCCAACTATTTAGGAAACCACCAAATCACACAAACACACTCCTTGTCCCTAAAATCGAACCTTGCTCAGGCGTCAGCCACGCAGTCTACGATCCCAGACATCCCATTCCCCGTCTCCAGCATGGGGTGCAGAGGTGCTGGTGCCTCATGACAGCAGTAACCTGATGTCTCCCAGCTGCCCCGTACCTCCGTTATGAGGGTGACATTGATGCCAGTGTCACATGCCCCACGATGTCTCTTCTCCAGGGACACCACCAACAGAAATTACTATAAAACAAGCTTCCTGCCAGCCTCAGCAGCTCTAATGAGTCAGGAAGCAGTAATGTGGGAATAGGGGAACTGTTGACAGAGCCTAATTATTTTATGACAGTCTTTCTAAAACAGTTAGAAAATAAAACACCTACATAGGCTTCAAAATTGGAAATGGGGTTAGCAGTACTACGCATGTACCTGCTAATTTATCCCCACAATCCTGGTTTAGGCTTTTTCCCCTTCACACCTGCTGCTCTCTGAATGCTTCTCCAGGCAGAAGAACTTCATTATAAAAAGAGAAAATACCTTAATTACACAGAACACATAACTTTAAATGGGAAGTCTCCTGTTTTGGTGTCTGGCAGTTAATTCATTAGGACTTCTTTGTATTTTAGTTACATGTATTCCATATGTTATTGCAAAAAGCATTGCCACATTTCATAGACGTGAGCAAGAACAGACTTGTTGAGGTGTTGTCTTGGCTGTGTTCCCAGCCACATGCTGCTGCTCCCTAGTTCATTCATGCTTTGGGGATCAGCAGTTCTCAGATTCCAAAGGCAGAATCCCAACTGGAGCCCATCTTCTTCTAAATCTCTGCTGCAGAAACTGGAAAAACCCATGATAGCTGCATACCACCCCTAGCTGCAATCTCCCCTGCTCCTAAACATGACACGTATTTCCTTTACAGTGTTATTTCAACCTCCACTGTTTGTGTAACTTCCACAGTTCGGATCCTGCTCACTGTTTCCACCACAGATTGGAGTTTGCCCTTTTGGGACATTAAAGGTTTTGCCCATCAGCCAAACTGACATTTGAAAAGGATCTACAGAGCTCGTATAAAGAATCCCCCAGCAAACCAGCCCGGACCTGGCACTGAAACTCTATGTTTATCCAAAGCAAGAGGCACAAAATGTTCAAAAATCATAGAAGTAAAGAAAAATGCATAAGCAGTTCAGTGGTCATTCATCTATAACCTCCTTTCGTATACAATAAAACTCCCCAGCTTCCAGTTTTACTTGTGATCAAGACCTATAGCCCAGCACCAACAACGGGGTGGGAGGACTTGGTCCCACGCTGACTTTTGGGGTTTGGTACCATAGAGCTATGCTGTGCCACCCTCATAAGCAGCTGGATTGAATCCCTCCTACGCTGTCCCTTAGTTTTCCTGGTCAGGAAATACAAGCTGGGTTTCATTTGCTGTCAATGCAGGACGTCAACACAGTGAGATATGAAGCGTGTGACCTGGGGCTGGTGAGAACACCCAGGAGAAACATTTAACTGAACATTGTAGTTGCTTTTGTAGCTTAAACCTCACCTAGATCTTGGGCAAGTCAAGGGAGGTTGGAGGCTAAGGTCCTCACTGAGAGTCATTAGTAAAGGTAACGCTCTCTCTTCCTTTGCTTTATCAGGTTCAGCCCGTTCACATGAACGTTTTCTCTGCCTTGGGAAGCGTAAGCAGCTTTTCTTTCCCTGGGTAATTAG